CCCCTCTTCCACCCCCTTCACCAAAAAACCCCCCCCCCCCCGCTTCTCCTCCCCAAACTTCCCTTCCTCTGCCTCGCCCAGGCAGAGCCCGGCCTGGAGCTGCAGAGAGCCAGACACTTTTCTGCCCAGGAGAGCCTCCCTTTAGGCTTCGGCAGAAGAGGAGGTCTGGCCCAGAGTCGAGGCTGAGGGGAGGGTTGAGCCTGGCTCTTCCAGGCCTAGCCAGCCTTCTCCCCCCTGCACCCTCATGGTCCTCTTCGCCTTCCTCTGCTGAATTTTAGCAGGCAGGAGCCTTGTCTCACCCGCTCCTTCAAATGCCCAGCATACTGCTGGCTTCAGGACAGAGAGCGGGATCCCGAGCCCACTCACAGCCTTGGTAAAGGGTGGCAAAGATCCAGGGCTTTTGTGCCACCCGGAGCCAAGGGAGCGCGAGGTGCAACGACCCCTCCTGCTTGAAGAGGGGACCTGCCAGGGGTCCTTCTGGCGCACCAGCTGCTCTCTCTGCCCCTCGGTTTCAGGACCAGAGGCTGGAAACAGGCCTGTGGACTTGCCGGCAGCACCTCATCCACCCCCCCGCCACCCCCTGGCACTTGCCAAGCTGGATCAGATGGTGGGGCCCTGCAGAGCTAAAGCTGGCGAAACGGCTTTGAAGGCAAGCCGGGCAGCCTCCCCAGGGTGCAGCAGCCACGCGGAAGATTGCCAGGAAGCCTTCGAGCTCAGCATTGGCGCAGCGCTGCTCTGTCAGGGGGCGCTGGGGGAGTCCTTACCACGAGCCTCCTCCTCTGCTTGAGGAGCACCGTGTGGTTGTAGACACGGATCAGCAGCTCCTTCAGCACGGAGGGCTGGCTGGCGCCCACCACCACCCGGTTGGTCCCCTCGATGCTGAAGGGCTCCAGGCGTTCCGAGGCAGCGGGGTGGGTCTGGGAGAGCACGTAGGTGCGCGTCCCTTGGAAGTGGTGCAGCAGGCCGTCAAAGGTCATGTAGTGGGGGTCTCCCGTGATCAGGCACTTCCCAAATCCTGGGGAGGGAGGGAGGGAGGGGAGGTCAGCCAGCCACTCCTGCACCGTCACGGGCCCAGGGGCTCCAAGATGGAGGTTCCTCAATGCTATTGTCCCCAAGCAGACTTGCCTGCGGTTCTCCTTTCCCAGCAGCGGGTCAGCTGGCAGCATCCGCCCATCCTGAGCGGGTCACTAATTCCAGGGACCCTCGGGCTTTGGTCCCCCCGCAGCTCTCTCCCGGACCATGCCCCGGTTTCTCCCCAGCTGAACCCCCAGAGGCGGGGAGGGGAGGGAGGGGGTTTCCTGCTCAGTGGCGGCTGCACTTTTCAGAAAGACAGCCCCGAGGGAGACCCTACTGCCCAGAGCTTCGGCTTCCCTTTCCCCTCCCCACAACTAGCACTCCTAGCACTAACCCGTCCCTGTTGATTTGCAGTGTAACTTCCCGTTTTTCTTGGCACTGCAAACCTCCCCGGGTTCACAGCCAAACTCCTGGCACTTGATGGTGCCCCCTCGGCGACAGCGGCACTTTTGGCTGCAGTGGGGGGTGAGCCAGCTCTCTCCGATCTGTCAGAACGAGCATGGCTTAGGGGCGGGCGAGGGGGGCACCAGGGGAGTCCCTTGCCTCAGCCGCCGGCCAGCAGCCACCCTCGGCCAACGCTGCCCGCCCCCCCCCACCGCCCCGCCCCCGGGGGCG